TATTGTGTTTAAAAATTTTATATAAAATTTACGTTTGCATATCATGACTCAATAAGAATATGTTCAGATAAAATTTAATAATAGAAAGTTATAAAATTTAGTCATGATGATAGTGAGAAGAAATGATAGGAAAAAGGGTAAGATGGCCATTTAAAAAATTTTAAGGTATAACATTAACAATTCAGGAGGACAATTTATAATAAGATCACAAATCTTAAGGAGAAAAATATAATTTTTTAAATGTGAGGGAATCTGTATTAAATAGATACCTCAAGTGTCAGTGTAATTTACCCTTTGGTTTTTTTGTAGACTAAGACCTCGTTTGGCATGTGTTTGTTTTAGTTTAAAAGTCAAAAAGTTATTAAAAAATCAAAATGCCTATAACCTATACCAAAAAGTCAAAGATTCTATTTTTTTTTTATTTTTTGCACATATTTTCTTAAAAAACTAAAAAGTCATTCTAAACATACTAGTTTTTTTTTTTTTTTTTTTTTTTTTTTTTTTTTTTTTTTTTTTTTAACCTAAGGCCTCATTTATGAATATATTATTTTAGTAACTTTTTGATTTTTTGACTAAAATATGAGGTAAAAAAATTAGTATGTTTGAAATGACTTTTTAATTTTTTTACAAAAAGATGTGCAAAAAATAGAGAGAAAAGGGAATCATTAACTTTTTTGTATAAGTTGTTGGCTTTTTAATTTTTTTAGTGATTTTTTGACTTTTAAACTAAAATATTAAATTGCCAAATGAGGCTTAAATTCGAGAAGCAAAATACATGTCCAAATATTTTTCCAATAGGAACAATGAACCTTGTATTAATCTTCGTTCGCAAATTGTCCAGATTGTAAAAAACAGAGATCTCCGAGTGTTTTTGTTTATGTTATCAAAGTCTCAATTTGATCTAATTCAAAATAATAAATAATAATAGAGTTTTTACCATGGCTGCAATGGTTGTCCAAAGAGCCAATTCCTCCTCCTCTATTCGATCTTGATGGACATACGATGTGTTCTTGAGCTTTAGAGGCAAAGACACTCGCCATGTGTTTAATATTTATCATTAATTTAAAAATAATTTTTCAACCATCAATTGAAGTGTAATTTCCCAATTTTTTTTAACGATTGATAAGTATATATTTTTTAATATATACCATAGGACAAACAGTTTTTTTATTTTTATTTTTATTTTTTTTAACAAGAAAAAAAAGATATTCTAACATATCATCATGGCATTCGTGAACCCAGATTCTCAAATAGCCAGTTACCAGCATGAATTAATCCAATTCATAAAAAGAAATCCACTACTAAGCCTTCGTTTGCCGCATCAAAAAGTCTAATTTTTTGATTATTTTAGTCACAAAAAGATAAAATAGACAAAAAAATAATAAGATAAAATATTACATATAAATTATAATCATTTCATTTTTTTCTCACAAAAATAAAAAAAAACTAAAAAAATCTATTTTAAATAAGACTTCTTAGCCTTAAACTAAAATAACTAAACATTAAAAACTCAAAACAACAAACCCGCATTCCATATAAATTCTAAACACCAATGAAGCTAATCAATCACCCAGCAAAGTCAAGTCAAGACCCACCACAACTGTAATTTCTAGGAAGAGAAGGTTGATGTATTTATTATTATTATTATTATTTCAATACTTCCTTTCTTCGAAGGAAGAAATTTCGTGGAAATTAGCTTTCTGACTAGACGTTTGTGTACAAAGACTAAGTAGCTTGCAAGTAACGCAAATGTGCAGAGTATAAGCACTTTGAGAAGATTGGTAAAAACTCAGTTTTTTGATTTTTTAGATTTTTTAGTAAAAAAAAATCAGTTTTTTTATTTAAAACAATTCAGTTTTTTCTCAAAAAAAATCAAAAAAGTCAAAAAATTAACGTTTTACTAACTTTCCAAAACATCACAGAAACAAGAGATACTAGTAATTCTGTTCTCTCATCAATCAAAACCCCCAATCTTTTGAGTAAGGTATTTGGTAGTAACCCAACCAAACAGTTAACAATGGCTTCATCTGTTCCATCTTCATCTCGATCTCTCTTTGAGTAACAAATAGAGTTTTTACGATGGCTTCAATGGTTGTCTAAAGAGCCAATTCCTCCTTTATTCGATCTCGATGGACATATGATATGTTCTTGAACTTTAGAGGCAAAGGCACTCGCCATGTGTTTAATATTTGTAATATTTATCATTAATTTAAAAATAATTTTTCAATCATCAATTGAAGTATAATTTTCCAATTTTTTTAACAATTAATAAGTATATATTTTTTAATATATACCTCAGGACAACCGTTTTTTTTTTTTTTCATAGAAAAAAATGTCACTGTATGTCCTTTTTCTTGTAGTGTACTCACAGAAAATTTAAAAAAAATAAAAAATAAAAAATGAGGGACTAACAAGAGAGTGGAAATGCTAATTTTGTGGGAGAAGGACAAACCAAAAAAACATCATAGGTACAAGCTTCCTCCAAGAAAATTAGGAATTCATCTCTAGTGGTAAACACTAGCTCAAGCACACCGACACATCTATGGTCAGTGGGTTCAAACTCCGGCAAAGCCAAAGCTGCTCTAATTTGGCAACGTACAGATGTTCACGTTGTGCAAACTCTTTGTTAGAGTAATGTGGGTGTTTGGGAAGTGATTTTTTTAGTTGTAGGATATTATTGGAGAAAAAAAATTTTGTGTTTGGAAAAATAGTTAGGTTTTTTTGTGGTTAGATGGATGTTTGTAAGAGAAAAAGTAAAATGATTAAGGATTTGATGTGATATTTTGTTTAAATTTGTTTTTTTTTTTTTTTTATTTTGTAACCAATTTGTCTTTTAGTAAAAAAAAAATAAAACAAAAAAAACCAAAAACCAAACTTCCCAAACAGCGCTATTATATTTATGTCATTTCAAGGGAAATAACAATCATCTTCTTTGGTTTAACTCAGGCAAAAAATTGATGTTTTTTACTATTTTTTAATATTTTAAGTAATGTTTTTGTTTTTATTTTTTAGATACACCTAATCTAGATACTTAAGAAATATAATATTTTGTAATTTTTTTTTTATAAAATTCAACAAACACAAAAATATACAAATTCAATAAATTATCTTATTTTATTGTATTCAATGATTTTAAAGCTTTTTTGTATAAATTTTATATTTTTTAAATATATCTAGATTAAATTAATTTAATCTAAATATAATGACAATAATAAAAATGAAAAATTATATTCATATACAAAATTTATACAAAAAATATCATAAAATTATCGGGATAGTTATATTGTTGTAAATATAAATCATGTTTATGAATATTTTATTTTAAAGTGAAAGGTCACCATCAAATATATTATTGTGTTTAAAAATTTTATATAAAATTTATGTTTATATATCATGACTCAATAAGAATATGTTTAGATAAAATTTAATGATAGAAATTTGTAAAATGTAGTTATGATGATAGTGAGAAGAAATGATAGGAAAAAGGGAAAAATGGCCATTTAGAAAATTTTAAGGTATAACATTAACAATTTATGGGCAATTTATAATAAGATTACAAACCTTAAGGAGGAAAATATAATTTTTTAAATGTAAGGGAATCTATATTAAACAGATACCTCAGGTGTCAGTGTACCCTTTGGTTTTTTGGCAGACTAAGGTTTCGTTTGGCATATGTTTGTTTTAGTCTAAAAATCAAAAAGTTATTAAAAAAACCAAAAAGCCTTAGGCCTCGTTTGTGAACAGATTATTTTAGTAGCTTTTTGGTTTTTTGACTAAAATATGAGGTAAAAAAAATTGTATATTTGGAATGATTTTTTGATTTTTTACAAAAGGATATGCAAAAAGTAGAGAAAAAAGGGAATTATTGATTTTTTGGTATAGAGTGTTGACTTTTTAGTTTTTTTAATAACTTTTTGACTTTTAAACTAAAATATTAACTTAGGCACCGTTTGGGAAGAGCTAAAGTTGGTTTTTTTTGCTATTTTAGCCACAAAAGACAAAATAGGCTATTTTAGCCACAAAAAATAAAATATCACATCCAACCCATAATCATTACACTCTTCTCTCACAAAAAAGTTAAAAAAGTCAAAAAGTCCTTCCTAAAAAGTTTTTTAGCTCAGACTAAAATAACCAAAATAGCCAAAAAGCCAACCTACTTCCCAAACCAACCCTAAGTTGCCAAACAAAGCCTAAATTTCGAGAAGCAAAATAAATGTCCAAATATTTTTCCGATAGGAACAAAAAATGAACCTTGTATTAATCTTCGTTTGCAAATTCTCCAGATTATAAGAAACAGCGATCTCCGAATGTTTTTGTTTATGTTATCAAAGTCTCAATTTGATCTAATTCAAAATAAAAAATAAAAAATAAACAAAAAGTCTCAATTTGATCTCTCTTTGTGTAACAAACAGTTTTTACGTTAGCTTCAATGGTTGTCCAAAGAGCCACTTCCTCCTCCTCCTCTATTCGATCTCGATGGACATACGATGTCTTCTACGATGTGTTCTTGAGCTTTATAGGCAAAGACACTCGTCATGTGTTTAATATTTATCATTAATTTAAAAATAATTTTTCAATCGCCATGTGTTTAATATTTATCATTAATTTAAAAATAATTTTTCAACCATCAATTGAAGTGTAATTTCTCAATTTTTTTAACAATTGATAAGTATATATTTTTTAATATATACCTTAGGACAAACAGTTTTTTTTTTTTTTAACAAGAAAAAAAAGATGTTCTAATATATAATCATGGCATTCGTGAGTCTAAATTCCGAAATAGCCAATTACCAGCATGAATTAATCCAATTCATAAAAAGAAATCCAACACTAAAACACGAATGGAGCTCGTCAAGCACCCAGCAAAGCCAAGACCCACCACAACTGTAATTTCTAGGAAGAGAAGGTTGATGTAATTATTATTATTTCAATTCTTCCTTTCTTCGGAGGAAGAAATTTCTTGGAAATTAACTTTCAGACTTTGACTAAGACGTTGACTCAGTGTACAAAGACCAAGTAGCGTGCAAGTAACGCAAATGTGCAGAGTATAGAAACGAGAGATACTTGTAATTTCTGTTTTCTCATCAATCAAAATCCCCAATCTTTTGAGTAAGAGATTTGGTAGTACACCAACCAAACAGTTACAATGGCTTCATCTGTTCCATCTTCATCTCGATCTCGATGCACATACGATGTGTTCTTGAGCTTTAGAGGCGAAGACACTCGCGATAACTTCGTCAGCCATCTATACGCAGCGTTGGCTCAGAAGGGAATTCACACCTTCAAAGACGATGAAAAGCTCGAAAGAGGAAAATCTATTTCTCCGGAACTCCAGAAAGCGATTCAAGAATCAAGGTTTTCAATTGTGGTTTTGTCCAAGAACTATGCTTCTTCCAGATGGTGTTTGGATGAGCTTGTGGAGATACTTGAATGCAGCAACACAACTGTTTATCCGATTTTCTATCACGTGAATCCATCGGATGTGCGACGCCAAAGAGGGAGTTTTGGGGGTGGATTTGAGGAATTGGTGTCCAAACAGGAAGTATTGGGGATGGAGAAGGTCCAAAGGTGGAGGAATGCTTTGGAGCAAGTTGCCAATTTATCAGGATGGCCTTACCCTAGCGATACAATTGTTAGGTATTTAACTAAAATATTCTCCTTTTGCTCTCTTTTTATTTCTATAATTTAGATTGAAGATTCAATCCTGTTTGGTTTCAAAAACAGTTTTTTTTTTCTTCATATTTTAGTTAATTTTTTTTTAGATGCATTTAATTTATAATATAAATATATTTAAAAAGTAAGATACAAAAAAAGTTGCGAAGATGTATTTAATTTTTATATATTTTTTGTATTTAGTAAATTTAAAAAAATAATAAAAAATTGACAATTTTTTGTACTTTTAAATGTATCCTGATTAAGATAATCTAAAAAAACAGACAGAGTTATGTTTTGAAATCATGTTTCTTAAAATTTTAGTTGAATTATTTATGTTTGTCTCTTTTTATTTGTTTTACTATTCCCCTAAATCTACAGGTCTGAATCAATGTTCATCCAAGAACTTGTTGGAATACTTTTTAGAAAATTAAACCATACATATTCAAGCGTCTCTGAAGACTTAGTTGGGATGGATTCTCCTATGGAGAAAGTGATTGAATTGTTAGGATTAGGGATGGATGATGCTCGTGCTGTGGGGATATGGGGAATGGGTGGAATGGGTAAGACAACTATTGCAAGAGCTATTTATGACCGTATCTCTTCCCAATTTGAAGGTTGCAGCTTCATTGAAAATGTTAGAGAAGTTTCAGCAAAAAGTGGTCCGAAAACTCTGCAAGAACAACTCATTTCCGAAATCTTGTTGGAAAAAGATTTGAAAATAGGAAGTGTTGGTATGGGAGTAAGTATGATAAGGAACATGGTATACCGTAAAAAGATTCTTATTGTTCTCGATGATGTGGATGAATCAACAGAACTTGAAAAATTGATAGGAGAACAGCATTGGTTCGGTTTTGGAAGTAGAATCATTATAACAACTCGAAATCAACATGCATTAACTAGATATGGCATAACACATATTTATGAGGTTGAGGAATTAAGAGAATATGAAGCTACAGAACTCTTTAAATCGAAAGCCTTCGGGAAATACCAGCAAGTGGAAGACTATGGAGAACTTGTACCTCGTGCAGTAAAGTATGCTAAAGGAGTTCCTTTAGCTCTCAGAGTTTTGGGTTCTTTTCTTTGTGGTCGAAACAAATATGAGTGGGAAAGTTCATTAAACAGGCTGAAAGAAAGCCCTTTGAATGAAGTTCAACAAGTACTCCAAATAAGTTACGATGCATTACAATTGGTAGAGAAGGAAATATTCTTAGATATTGCTTGTTTTTTCAGCGGGAAAAACAAAAATGATGTAACAAAAATTCTAGATAGTTGTGGCTTCCACCCAATTATTGGAATAGATGTTCTTGTTAAGAAGTCTCTCGTAACTATCTCGGATAATAAGGTGATGATGCATGATTTGATACAAGAACTAGGGTGGTATATTGTTCGCCAGAAATCACCTAAAGAGCCTGGGGAGTGTAGTAGGTTGTGGCTTCAAGAAGATTTGACACGTGTGCTGATGGAGAATACGGTAAGAGATCTTATAGAAAAGCATGACCACTCTAAACTTATTTATTTAACAAAGCTAATTCTGCATAATTTTGTCAGCCTTTTGACATTGTGTTGCTGTTATTTGCTTGTGCTTATTAGGGAACAAAAAAAGTGGAAGGCATAGCTGTGGATTATCTTGACCTCGGACATCAAGATCCCAAGGACATTGGCCTGAAAGAATTGAAGGTGGGCCCTAAAGCTTTTGCAAAGATGTCAAACTTGAGAATTCTCAAAATGTGTTGTATTCACCTCACAGAAGACCTCAAATATCTTTCTAACAAGTTAAGATATCTTGATTGGTGCGGATACCCTATGAAATGCATGCCTTCAACATTTCAACCAGGGCGTCTTGTTGAACTTCACTTAACCTATAGCAGCATTGAACAACTTTGGGAGGAAACAATGGTATGAATGTGCATTATGTTTTATTATTCTAAATAAGATGCAAAGTCCTTGACACAGTATATTTTTCGTAATGTCTTTTTATTTTTTGTTTTTCTTCAGCCACATCTAGGCATTTTGAGGATCATGAATCTTAGTCACTCAACATGTCTAACCAAGAGCCCAGACTTCACGAAGGTCCCAAATCTTGAAATATTGATTCTTGAAGGCTGTACAAGTATGGTTAATCTTCATCCATCCATTGGAATTCTTAGAAGGCTTATTTGCCTCAACTTGAAGGACTGCAAAAATCTCAAGAGTCTTCCAAGTGACATTCAATTGGAATCTCTTGAAGTTCTTAATGTCTCTGGGTGTTCAAAACTTGAAAACATTTCAGTTAACTTTGGATATATGAAATGTTTATCACAGCTTTATTTAGATGGGATTGGTGTAAGTGAACTTCCACCTTCAGTTGGACATCTTACCAGTCTTGGTTCACTGAATCTAAGCAATTGTAAAAATTTGAAAAGTATTCCAGACAGCATTTGCCAGTTGAAAGCTCTTACAAGTCTAAACCTCTCTGGGTGCTCCAAAGTTGACAAACTTCCGCAAGACGTGGGTTTCCTGGACTGTTTAAAGGTGCTTCGCGCAGATTGCACTGCAATTAGACAAGTCCCCTCCTCCATTGGACTTCTGAAGAAACTAGAAATATTATCCTTACGGGGGTGTAAAGTACTAAGATCTAATTCATGGAGTTGTTTTTTCTTGCCTTCAACTTTACTTAGATGGAGAGAGAATTCCATGACTTTGGAACTAGCAGCTTTGTCAAGGTTAGTGTCTTTACAAAAACTAGATCTCAGTTACTGTAATTTAAAATCTATCCCCACATCCATTTGCCACATCTACTCGTTGCACCAATTAAATCTCAGTGGAAACAACATTGAAAGTTTACCTGCAAGCATGAATCAACTCTCGAAGCTGTCAATATTGCTTTTGGAAGGTTGCAAGAGGCTTAAAGAACTGCCAGAGCTTTCATCATCAGTACATAAAATACTAGCTGATGATTGCACATCATTAAGAACAATATTGAGTCCATCCACATTCAACAATGTTGACTTCTTTTCCTTCATGAATTGCTTCAAACTGGTTGAGAGCAAGCAGAACAACATCCTGACAGAAAAATTTATTTCAAATTTAATTCAATCTGTTTCTTTTATTGTTTTCCCCGGGAGTGAGATTCCAAAGTGGTTCAGTCATCAGAGTAGGGGTTCTTCAATATCTTTTGAGTTGCCTCCACATTGGTATAATAGCAGGTTCTTGGGAATTGTTTTAGCTGCTGTTGTAATCAAGGATAAATCCAAGTTCCAGGGGTGCTATTCTTTTAAGATGACGTTTAAGCGCCTTAGTACTCAGACGGTCATCGGAAATTGCTGTACAGTGAATCTACATTTTCAATTTGCGAATTCTGGAAATGTACAAGTTATTTATTTACCACACTTTGATTTTCTGGGACTAATGGAAGATTATATGGAGCAATTAAATGAGGGTGGAATTGAATTTCAAGTTTGTTTTGTTGAACTCCATCATCTCTGTGGCATTGCAAGGCATTTTGCATATTATAGTAAAAGGAAAGCAAAATATATGGAATGTGAACTTGAATGCGGGCATGTTGTTGCAGTGGAAAAGCTCGGTGTCCATTTATTATACGAGAAAGCTGATGAAGAAGCATTGATTACATACAGACCTGAAGAAAACATGGGTGTGGGTGTGTTCCATGGAGACTTGGATAGATTAGTAGAAGTTGTGAATGCTAGTGCTACTACATCAAAGAGAAAATGCGATGACCTCAATAACAACAATGACTGCGATGCAGCAGTAGCAGGACCCAGTGGAAGTGGCGGATTTGATGATCAGGAGGAGGAGGACCACCTCAATAGCAAAAGGCTTAGGAGCGAGTGAAATTGGCAGCTTTGACCAGGTATGTACCTTGAACTCAGTTAACACCAACTAAAAGTGTCTTCAACTCACACACTCCACTATAAATGTCTCCAATTACAAGCAAGGAAAATAATAATAAAAACAATGAAAAGGGACACCAGAAAATAAACATAACTATTATATTTATTAGGATAAATTTCAAATGAGTCAAATTGATCTAATTTAAAATGTACCATCCAAATCTTTTAAAGAAAGATAATAAAATATAGTTATGGTTCCTAAAGTATGCATTTCGTACTACTTTTTTCTTATATTTTATGATTATTAGGTTAATGATTTAGATGGCCACTTGAAATTAAAATAATTTGACTTAAATTGAAAACTTCAGAGATGAAATTGATAAATTTTGAATTTGAAGGACTAAAAAGTAGTATAGTGCACATATTTTGAGGACTACAGATGTATCTTTATCCTATTTATTTATCTCAATGTTGTTGAGAATTTCTGATGTCTCAATCAACAATTTTTCCTCAATGCTTGACTTTAGACTATGTTTGGATGACTTTAATCAAAGAAAAAAGGAATAGAAATCTCATTACTAGAAAACACATTACAATGAATAAAAATCACATGTCAATGTTATTCAAGTGTTTGGTTTGGAATCAATCCTACTTTCATGAAAACGCAAACAATATACCAAACAAGTTTTCGTCTCTAGTTTCCAAAAAAATAAAAAAAATAAAACAGATAACCAAGTTTGCATTTACAGGACTGCAATATTTGGGAATACTGGTGCAGAGGCCAACAAGCAGACAGAAAGAACAGAGTGCCATGGTCAAGATCTTTCAGTTGTGAGGGAGTAAGACCTTTTCTGAATGTGACATTCCTAGCAGGATAACAATAGTTGAGACTATTTTCATTTGTTTCATTTCTTTTGGATGATATGGGAATTGCTTTTTAACAGCAAAAAATAGTCCATTTCTGGTACTAAAATTTTAAGCATTTATCTACTTTCTTCTTTTTGAAGTATAAATGAGTGTAGAAATAGACAATTGAAAGAGTGAATGTCATTGGCCTCAAAATGAACAACAAAGGTAAATATTAATTCTTTACATTTTTTGTACCAATGTGCAGAACAGTATAATGTAATAACTTAATCATAGAGCCCAAGTGGTCTGGCGGTGTGATGAGATAATTTTCACCATTTAATAATTTCAGAGTTTCTGGACAATATAAAGCTAAGCAGAAAAATAGAGAAAACAAAGATTGACGGAATAATTCTAGCATTATGAGTAAATTTAATATTATCAGTACAGGTACAAGGTACAAGCATAGACACTAGAAAGTTAGTTACAAAGAGTTGAGAACTGGACAAGATCCAACTCATTAGTGAGCTTCTAATTGAATGGATCTTCGTCGTCTATTTCTAAAACAGTTAATAATTGAACTCGTCAAAGATTTCAAACCTCATTGCTGTACACCTAAAATTACCCAATTTGGATCATTATGGAGACAATGCTAATTGCCCTAAATCCTTTTCTGTTATTAACAATTCTCTTTGGATTGCAGATCGCCTCATACACAGGATCATTATTGATGGCTCATGGATGAAGGATACTTTGCTCGTGGGAGGAGCTTGGGTAGCTTTGGATGAATTTGATAATCAGATTGGGGCACACACTGCAGCCTTCTTCCCTTTATCGGCATCTATGGCAGAAGCCAAGGCGTGTCTTGATGCAGTTTGATGGTGTGTAGCTCCTAGTGTCAAGACTGTTAACATATACAAAGACTCTCATGTGTTAATTAATGAATTATCTTGTGGATCAGCTAAAGCTTTGGATCGGCTGTCTATTGTTAAGGATATTGAGATGCTCTTCTATTTTCTTTTTTCTTTTTTGGGTAAAAAAGATATTAAGATGCTATGTAGGGTCATTTTGGGAAGATAGTTATAATCAGTTTTTGGTTGAAAGCCGATTATAATCAACTTTTTGTGAGAGAATGAAATGGGTTATAATCTGGGAAAATCCACTTCCCAAAAGATCCCGTAATACGTTTGAGTATATTTGTGTTACAATTCCTAGGAACGTTGTTGGTGTAGCCCATAGAAAGGCAAAAGCTGCTCTTAGACGATGCAGTAAATTTTGTGTTGTACTTGCAGCTTTATCTATACTTCAGAATTTAGTCTCTTGAAGCCTCTATCATGTACTGCCACGTGTAATTTAGGTGATTTGACAAACAAAAAAAAAATCACATCCCACGTTTTCTACTTTCTCCCTCAATCAACTATTCAATACTCAATTTCCTCTTTCTCTCTCTCTCTCCTCAAATTTCTTGGCTCAGAGTTTTCTCTCTACCACCCCCATGGCCACCGCATCCCCAAAGCTCACTTCCAGAGTCCTCTTCCTCTCTTCGCTGCCGCATTGTCAAAAACTACCGCTATTGCTGCCGTTGCTAGAATCACCACAACAACCCTCTTTTCTCGCTGCCCGCAAACCCTTCTCGATTGATCTGAGATCTCTCTCCCCCTCTTGCCGCGACCGAAGCAGAAGCTGTCTATTCTTCTACGATGAACAAGTTGCTTCAATTGAGAAGGCTTTCGAGAGCTCTCAAACCTCATGTACCTTCTTCCTCAATTCAAAGATCATATGTCTATTCTTCTACGGACCTTTCGGAAGCTTCGAACAGTGCTTGCAGTCCTCCTCTCTCACCCCATTCTAGAAGCTTATGCTCTTGCCCTCTGAATCTCCAACACGAAGGCTCAACCTCCATTGATTATAGGTGCGTACCCCAAGTTTTCAGCGACCAAACAATTTATTAGAGGTTTTCATAGTGACATAGGTTTTGAGAGATGGCCATTTCATTCTGAAATTCTGTATGAATTCAAATTCATAGTGTTGATTCCATTTATTGTCTTTGGTGTCCATTGGTTTTAAGGTATTTTTTTTTTTAAATACTTTTTTTTGGGGGGGTTTTGGCTAGGTTATTTTAATAATAATAATTATTATTATTTTAAATCTCTTTGATTGTAAGTGTTTTAATGGGTTTGTATTTTTGTATTTTGTGTGTACTAATTTAATTATACTTCTTATTTTCTTCATTAAAAAAATAAAAGAGGATGAAAAGTTTTATTATATTATCAAGTTCTAAGAGAAAAAATTTGATTATTATTTTACTTCGTTTATATCAAAAAAAAAAAAAAAATTCAACATAATCGTTTATATATATTTTTTTGTGTATATCAAATTTATTTGACTATAAATATTCTAAGAATCTTGAATTTATAATTTTTAAAATGAGTATTATTTTTTTAAGAATTATTATTTAATTTTGTTTATATCAAAATTGTAAGTGTTCTTTATTTTTTTTTTAAATAAATTTGTGATGTTTATTTTTTAAATAATATTTTTTAAATTTACACGCACATCATGTGTGCCCGACCATTAGTATATATAAATGGATTATGCTTTCTTAAATTATAAAAAAAATAGGAAAATGTTTTGTAGCTCGAAACTTTTTCCCCTGAATCCCCCGACTGTCCAAAATGATGTCGTTTTGGGCAATTTTTTTTTTTTTTTTTCTCCTCGTTATGTCTGAAACAGAGAGAGCAAAGAGGAGAGAAGAAGAGGAAGAGGAAGAGAAAGAGAAAGAGAATGAGAGAAAGAGAAGAGAGGGGAAGAGGGAATGGAGAGAGAGCGTTCGATCGCCGCCGCCTCCGCCTCCGCCTCCGCCTCCGCTTCCGATCGTTGCAGCCCGCCGCCTCCACCTCCGCTTCCGATCGTCGCAGCCCGCCGTCTCTGCCTGATCTCTGATCTCCGTCTCTGATTGTGGGTTTGATTTGTTTCATGGATTTGGCTTGGGTTTGATTTGTTTCATGTATTTGGGTTTGATTTGTTTATTTTTTCAGATTTTTACATTTTTTTTTCTCTCTGCTGTGTTGATGAAGATGTGTTGGGTGGTTGATGAATTTTTTTTGTCCCTCTCTCTACTGTGTTGATGAAGATGTGTTGGGTGGTTGATGATGATGATTTTCTCTCTCTCTGTGCTACCCTCCTTTTCTCTTCTTTCTTCTTCTTCTTTTTTGATTTTTCTTCTTCTGCCAAAAAAAAAAAAAAAAATCAAAACGACGAAACGACGTCGTTTTGATTTCGGGCCAAATTCGAGCTCAAAAAATTCGAGCTACGTAGCACAACTGAAAAAAATATCCTTTCTTTTTATGTTTACATATAATCAGGGACGAAATTAAGAGAAGACTATAAGGGGCCATGGCCCCCCTGCTTCTGTGAAAAATATGGTTGGTCATAGCATTTTAAAAATATATCTCATTTTGTACATAAAATGGCCCCTGGTATAAAAAATATATATCATTTTTCTTCTATCTTGCGCTCTCTTTTTATTTTGCACCAAAAAAACTTTATCCTATTAGAAATTACTTTTATGGTGTTTGAATTTTTGTGTGTATATACATAATTTATATATCATATTGTACATACATGTGTGTATATGTATATTGTAAAAAATTTTTATTTATCTTTTGACCCCTCCGGTGATGAAATTCTGGTTTCGTCCTTGCATATAATCTATGGTCAAAACAACCAACCTCCATGTTGGTTCCATTCTTATCGCACCCTATATGTCACATCGACTGCTCATCGACTCTAGTACCGGTGTGGGCTGAGCTACATATTTATAGGGGTTAAGACTCATCAAACTTGTAATTAAGGCTTATTTTGGAAAGATGGTCAAAAGTGATTTTTTGACTTTTAACCAAGCTTTTGGCTTTTTTGTTTAATATTTATTTATGATGTTAAATCATAATAAATAACCAAACTACTCCCATTTAATTTAAAATATTTACAACTTCACCCATATAGCACATTTTGACTCATGAGGGGTAGAATTATAATTTCACCACTGGCTAAAAATCAACTTCCCAAATGAATAAAAATATAAAAAAGCCAACTTTTAGCTTTTGCTACAAACCAAAAAAAGTGCCTAAAAACTATGTTCCCAAAAGATGCCTAAGAAGATGCAGACTTAACAAAAAGGATCTTATTTGTATATATTTTTAGGACCTTTCTTAGGTGTGCCTTGCATATGGTATGCAAGGCACTTACACCCTTTTTATTTTGTATTTATACATTTTTATGCATTGGGTTATGTCAAAATATTTGAAAATTTACATATTGGTGACCTGTTAAGCAGGTCACTTTCTAAGTAAATTAATTAAATAATATATTATATGACTAAAAGTGTAAATTGTCACAAAAAGGTGTAAATAATTTCACAAGAGGGCGTAAGTTTTCACAAAAAGCGTAAATTTTCACAAAAGGCGTATGTAATTTCAGAAAAAAGCGTAAGTGATTTTTGAAAACTTACACCCTTTGGGAAAACTTACGCTTTTTATGAAAAGTTACGCCTTTTGTGAAAACTTATACTTTTTATAAAAACTTACACTTTTTTGTGAAATTACTTACACCTTTTCTGAGAACTTACACTTTTTTGTGAAATTATTTACTCATTTTCTGAGAGCTTACGCCTTTTGTGAAATTACTTACACCTTTTGTGAACGCTTACTCATTTTGTAAAATTACTTACCAAATGTGTAACTTTTGACAACTTACATATAATACTTACATCTTTTATGAAACAAGTTGCACTTTTTTTGAAAAGTTACATCATATGTGAAAAATTCTCTTTCATAAACTTTTTACCTTTTGTTAAAACTTACACATTTTCTAAAAATTTACACCTTTTCGTGAAAATACTTACACCTTTTCTGAAAAGTTACTCCTTTTGTGAAATAATTTTTTTCATAAAATTTACACATTTTCTTGGAACTTGCACCTTTTGTGAAAACAAAACTTACACCTTTTGTGAACTAATTTCTTTCATAAAATTTACACCTTTTGTTAAAACATATACCTTTTTCTGAAAACTTACACCTTTTCGTGGAAATACTTACACATTTTCTGAAAAGTTACTCCTTTTGTGAAATAATTTTTTTCATAAAATTTATACATTTTCTTGGAACTTACACCTTTTGTGAAAACGAAACTTACACTTTTTGTGAAGTCACTTACATCTTTTGTTAAAAAACTTACACTATTTCTGAAAAGTTACACCTTTTGTGAAATAATTTCTTTCATAAAATTTGCACATTTTGCTAAAACTTATACCTTTTTGTGGAAACAATTACACATTTTCTGAAATGTTACTCCTTTTGTGAAATAATTTTTTTCATAAAATTAACACATTTTATTGGAACTTACACCTTTTGTGAAAACAAAACTTAAACTTTTTGTGAAGTCACTTACATTTATTGTGAAATAACTTACACTAATTCTGAAAAGTTACGCCTTTTGTGAAATAATTTCTTTCATAAAATTTACATATTTTGCTAAAACTTACACATTTTCTGAAAACTCACACCTTTTCTGAAAAGTTACTCCTTTTTTTTTTTCTTTTTTTCTTTTTTTCCAAGAAAAGGTGTAAGTTTTGGCAACAGATGTAAATTTTATGAAGAAATTATTTCACAAAAGGCGTAACTTTTCAGAATTAGTGTAAGTTATTTCACAAAAAATATAAGTGACTTCATAAGAGGTTTAAGTTTGGTTTTTACAAAAGGTGTAAGTTCTAATAAAATGTGTAAATTTTGTGAAAAAAATTATTTTACAAAAGGAGTAACTTTTCAGAAAAGGTATAAGTATTTCCACGAAAAGGTGTAAATTTTCAGAAAATGTGTAAGTCTTAGCAAAAGGTGTAAATTTTAGGAAAGAAATTATTTCACAAAATGTGTAACTTTTCAGAAATAGTGTAAGTTATTTCACAAAAGATATAAGTAGCTTCACAAAATGTATAAGTTTCGTTTCCACAAAAAGTGTAAGTTCCAATAAAATGTGTAAATTTTATGAAAACAATTATTTCACAAAAGAAGTAACTTTTCAGAAAATGTGTGAGTATTTCCACGAAAATGTGTAAATTTTCAGAAAAAGTGTAAGTTTTAGCAAAATGTGTAAATTTTATGAAAGAAATTATTTCACAAAAGTTGTAACTTTTCAGAAATAGTGTAAGTTATTTCACAAAAGGTGTAAGTAGCTTCACAAAAGGTGTAAGTTTCGTTTTCATAAAAGGTGTAAGTTCCAATAAAATGTGTAAATTTTATGAAAGAAATTATTTCACAAAAT